AGGGTTGAAATTCAGTAAATCAGCAGAGTAGAGCGAGAATTCTCAATTGATTTTGGAGCCCATCGGCATCTAGCAAATTCTCAGAATATTGAGCGTATTTAGTCGTAAACTTGGAGTGACGAGTTTCAGCATCTTTGAACTGTCGAAGGTTTCTACAAAAGTCTGCCGATATTCTCCAGAAAACGTCAACCTCACATGCATCCCGGAAATACGCCTACATGATCAGAGCCAGGGCAGCCAACATTCCAGACAGCCAGGAAACAGGCATGAACTTCTCAGAGGCAGATGTAGGAACCTGTACGACTGTAGTTCCGGAAGACGAGATTTTTGTAGTTGATGAAGCACGAGCAGTCTGAGTAGCTTCTGAAGCAAGACCTTGGCTTGCCAATAGAATTGCCGAATCTGAAGTCGGCACCCATGTTATCCCCGGTACTGTTGCAATGTTGTCAGAAGCTGAGATTGTGACTCCCATAGTGTTTGATTGCCCTACTAGATGATTAGAAACACGAATAATGAGGCATATGTTAAGCAGTTTACCGTTGACAGAAGAGGTTCCAATCTGGCTTGTTGTTAATGTTGGAAGATTGTCGTAAGAGGACGTGAACTAGGAAGTTTGTCCATGAGATTCATGAAGACTTCTGAAGTATTAGGAGTAATCAAGGCTTACAGAGCAGTCAGCCGTCTTGGTCGACAAGGTCCTGACCTCCGTGCTCAAGGCCACAGTCGTTGCTGTAAAAGCTGCAAGGGCGTACGTAAGCTCTCTTCTCATCGTGGCTACAAGATATCTTTGTTCTTGACGTTGGCAGGAAGTACACAGAACTGAATTGAATGGCAAACGAAGAACGTGGAAGAGGCAAAAGCTATTTTTGAGATCTCGTTCTCGAGCTTATGTACCCGGTTATCAACCGACCTTCCATCCCAGACGACTTCACTTACATCAATCCAGCAGCTGAGAAGATTTCCGGTTTGGAACTCAGTAGCCTAATTCAAGCAGAATCCGGAATCATCATGCAACGAAGGCATACTTGGTGGGTTCACTGAGTGATAAGCAAGATTTGACTCGTTTTCCGCATCCGTCGTAAGCAGTCAGATGACGAAGTGATTTGAAATGCTCACGTAGACTTGCGGATCGTGAGAAAGAACATGTTAGCGACATTCTCCAGGCTCGGCGTGCCAGGCTACGGCCCATTCAGGGAATTTGTCCTGACTCAAGAGGAAAGTGAGGATTCGAAATTCATGTTTTGCAAGACACATAGCCACAAAGTGATTAGTAGAGGTGTTATCGGAAGTTGAAGGACGCCCGACCACAAAGCATTGGATCCTGAGAGGCAGCTGACATGTATTTTCACTAACTATGTTGGCTCTAGCAGCTCGTATTGACATCTCTTCGGCAGAAAATACTCATCTTGGAAGCAAGTCTCATTTGTAGTGAGCGCCGCTTTCAGACATGAAATGAGAAGAAGTGTGTAATGGAGACATGATGGGTCTGTTTGGCCCATCTCTCGAAAGTCTCGCGCTCTCATCGAGACTCGTGAAATCTGCCTTTCAGACCAAGGTAAGGTACATGAAGTCACCGTCATACTCAGCTTGACGCCAAGCATAGATCGATTCCGACTTTAAACTAGCCCGAACACAGTCTTCATGCTTTGCCTCAAATCATCGTGAATATGTATCCCCAAAGTGATGTGTGAAAGTCAAGGGAGTGAATCCTTCGCATGGATGCATGCACATCAACTACACAAAAAGACATTAGACAGGAGAATGATTCAAACAGAGATAGCCGGTCGATCGACTGGTATAGCGGTATTTCGCCCAGAGAAGATGAGCGCACCGCTTTGGCAAGAGGTCTCCACATATAGGGTTTCAAACTTTGAACACAAGGCAAAATGCCATTTTGCGAGGACTTTCCGATGGCTTTCGAATAAGATCGCAGGGCCGATAACTTCTTTGCCACGTTTTTTAGAAGCTACCGAGGTGTCCCTAGGCATCCCGGCCCTCAACGTTACCCACAGGAAGGCGCTCTCCATATGTTACAACCAACAAGACCGAATATAGGGACGCAGTATGGCTCAAAATATAAGGCTTGCCTGGTATGATGATTTATCACTCCTGATAAATGGATACATCTAGTATTTGGAGAGATAGAACACAGTTACTTATCCACCTTCTTCCTGAGTTGAATGTTCCATTTCGGCTGAACTTGAGTTGAAAGCGTTCGGTGATCGTCAGGAACACTCGTTTTTGCACGCATGTCTAGTCTCAATTGTGCTCCCCTACACGGACTTACATGTACATGGCTATCAATGATTTAAATCTACACCATGGACTAGTCTTTCAGCTGAGTTTACAAGGGTCCTGGAATTGCCTCTTAGTTCTCGTACACGATCTCTCCAACGACACACCTCGCTGCACCTCCTTTCACTTCAGGGCTGGTGTCTATTGCCCATGCTCAGCTGTGATGATCGTGACTTGATCCGTCTAAACGGAAATATGGACGGTAGAATCGGCATTTTCTTTTCCTCTTTTCGTCTACCTAAAGTACTTTTGGTACCTGCACGACGTTGCAGTCATCCCACGAATGCCGACGTACTGGTATTGCTAACTCTTCTCCGGCCACCTAGCCTCTCGACCTGAGCGGCAGCGTTGACGAGAGCTCTTGCTTGTAACCCAATAGGTGTTGGCTGACAAGGGATGCACCGGAGTTAATGTGATCCGCGAAACATCAATTTCTAGGCCGAAACTCTCATGGCCACACAGACTCACAAGGCTTTCGCACGGATGCCTACAAAATGTAAGCGCATTGGCGCAATTCAGATATAAACCAATACAAGAATAGCCGGAGACTCTGAGATGCCAACACAGGGAGACAGGAGAGCTCAAACGTCTCCAAACTCGGACTTAAGGGGCTGACATTCTTGTGAATGGTCACTTTCGGCACGTCTAGCAGGCTCTGAGTTGCTCTTCTAAGACGTCTGAGACTGGGGATTTAAGCTAGAGACAAGACTCAGGAGAATGCCGGTGAAGGGTGATCACTTGAAGCTGGCCGATGTAGCGCAATGCTAACGTGCTTGCCATATCCGGATGCAATGCGTGTACTCCGTATACTAGCAACACCTCTCCACTTCTGCCGGCGGCACAGCGTTGATCGGCCTTGATGTGCGGACCCACGCGCCCTTTTCAACCCAGTTGTGTCTCAATCGGGTCCTTAAAACAACAATTAGTATAGACGCCAGGCAACACGGTGTTTCTCAAAGCCCACATATTTAGGGAAGCCTCACTTTAATCCCGACCTGCGGTGGGCTTGTTCCGGCGTCGAGCCGAGTGGATAGGCGCTACGTGGATGCTAAGACTCCTCCCTTCGTTCCAGACGCCATGCTAAGCGCCAGGGTTACACGGCTTCGGCCCGGGAGCCAACCAGCGTCAGGCATAAGCTAGGACTCTACCCGAAAAGGACTCTACCCGAAAGGGACACTTGATTCACGAATCTGTGCAACTGACAGACGCGTCTTGCGGTAATGAAAAATGTGACCTGTCCATTAAAGATGATTCAGAGCTTATATGCCCCAGCAAAATACCCCAGTAGATGCTAGGTCACTGTCGTAGTTGCGCGGCCGTGTGCTCGGACAGAGAGCTTCTTGCTTCCTTCTTTCCTGGCTCAGACCAGTACTTCAGAGCGTTTGTTCCAGTTCCTCCCCGGTGATCCTTCCGCTAGCTATTCCCTGACTGATAGCACGAGTCAGCTTTGTCGACTTCCTTTGGGGCTTACAATTGTGCTGGAAACTCGGTGTTGACCCAGTTCGGAGTAAGATACTCTATTTTGTTATCGCGAACAATGTTGCGTCAGGGACAAGAAAATGTTCTTCGATAAGCGGCGTCATCTGAATTTCGAGCAGTTGATGAGAAGGATGGCCCAGAAAGGCAACTTGACACCGCGCGCGCCATTCGGCCTACCCAGTTCAGTCACCAAAATGTCTACATGTGCGCTCAAGTTGTCAGATACAACACACAGCTTCCGGTGCCTGTACGCCATCGTGTCATATATCACAGTCGTTTATACATCAGCTAAGTCGGTTGAGTCTCCTGACGAATGACCCTTTTTGACACATTTAGAGTATCTAGAGCACAAGGTCCGGGTGAGGTTTGCGCTGAGATTGATATTTGATGATAACAACAGTACCGCGTACACAATGTCAGCCGGCAGTGGTGATACTTCGAAAAATACGTACCACCCCTGAAATCTTTGGTGAGAGTGAATGTCTCGCATTTTCGCAACCATGGTCGGTTTTTGATCAGAACAACAGTTCTAATTCCCGCGATTCCCGGCTCATCCGACATCGACTACCCCCAAGGCTTTGAGGTTAGGCCTGGAACTTGACCCAGCTATTGAAAGTCTAAATAACATAGTCTACCTACATGTATCTACAAGTACCTAACAGAGAACTGCTATGTATGAGGAGTGTATCTAAAGCCAGGCGTGTTGCAGATCTGAACTTCTGAAGAACCTCCCTGGCCTAGCCATCGCCGGATACCTTAGCTGCCAAGGAAAACGACACTAACCCTCTTGAACCAACATTGACTGGCATCAGTCGCAATGTATTTGTCCGTTTGTACACAGGAACTTTCACTCAAATCGTTCTGTCATGATATCCCAGAGACACAAGTTTCCGATTATGGAATTGTTGATTGCTGATAGGATGAGGTTGGTGGCGCAGAGCTCCTTAGCCTTTGTAACGCGTTTCTCTCAAGACGCAACCGGACGGAAATTTCGATGTCATGTCGAGATATGAGAACCTTCTCGACTCTCAGTGAGTGGCCGAAGTCTTCTCGTGAGGCTATCGGACATTATTCATGCCTAAAGGTTGAGACAGGCTGAGCACGAGATAGATGACCAACATTGAGTTAAAGATGTCATTCTTTGGAGTCTTGTTCGATGTTTGCGGAAAGAACTTCCAGTCTCAATTCGACTTCGTCGTAGTTAGAGATGTCCAAACTTCTCGTACAGAGCTAGTAAGTTAGGATTAAAAGACGACAATGGTTCTCCCCCAAAAGTAATGAGATTGCTAAAATATTCATCTTCATCCAGCGCCTACTGCTCTATCACATCATCTTCATCTTGTCTCGAAATCCTAATATTCACAAATCAATATGAAGTGGAATATTCTACTTTGTCTCGTCGTTCACTGGGTATCACTTGCCGCTGGTCAGGCTAGCCCATCGCCTGCCGTCGGTAAAGTCATCATAGAGTACCAGCCATTTGAGTTTCGATGCTCTGGAAATATATCCGTATCAATCAGTGCCAGGTACTTGACACTTGGCCTTTGCAGTATCCAGATCTCGGAGTTAATAATCATGTAGGACTTGGACGGAATGGCAAATCACGACAAGCATTATCCACGATGGTACACTCACCTCAAAAGCAACGATAACTGTCTCGGCCTCTGGAGATGGAGCAAGTGATTCTGCCGTTCCACCGATTGAGACTCACAGCTGGGAGGACATGTCTGCCTCAGCTGCTTCTGGCAGTAGTCCTGGCGTTATTGGGGTCCCAGGACCTGGCACAATCACCATTACGTCAACGGGAGCTCGACCAGGAGCAACGACGGTCCAACCAGAGAGCCCAGGAAATTCAATCACTATCATTACTTTTGTTCAGCCTTCTGAGAGTTCATTGCCCGCGGTGACTTCCATTGGCACCCGTACCGGCCTGAGCACGAATATTCCCGGTCCGGATGGGGGATCCTCGACCATCATCATCACTTCCAGTGCTTCTACCACTGGTTTGACGACGATATCTCCTGGCCCGTCCGGCGGCCCACCTACAACCGTCACCTTTATCATCGAACCACCCAGCCCAGTGACCCTGACATCTTTGGCATCGACGACAGGCTTGACTACGCTTCCTCCCGGCCAGAATGGCGGTCCGTCTACCATTGTTACATTCATTACCACACTATTCCCTCCAGTTCCGGTCACGCTTACTTCTGTTGTGACTACAACTGGCCTGACGACTGTTCCCCCTGGTCCGGAGGGTGGCCCGCCCACTATCATCACCTACATCACCACTCCATTGACCACGCCGCCAGTCACGCTTACCCAGACTGCAAGCACCACGGAATTGACTACGATTCCCCCTGGACCAAGCGGAGGGCCTTCCACTGTTGTCACTGTCGTGACCGGACCTCCTCCAGTCACGCTGACGTCTTTTGGCAGTTCGACTGGTCTAAGTACACTTCCGCCTGGGACTGATGGGGGACCTCCTACTGTTGTCACTTACCTGACAAGCCCTCCCCCGGCAACGCTCACCTCTACCGCCAGCATAACGGGTTTGACCACTCTTCCTGAGGCCCCGGTGGCCCATCAACGGTCATCACATACGTTACAGGTCCCCCTCCGGTTACGTTGGCCTCAACTGCTAGTACTACCGGCCTAACGACGATTCCTTCTGGAAGCCCTGATGGTCCACCCACGGTCTTTACCTACGTGACTGGGCCTCCGCTCGTCACTCTTACATCCACTGCCAGTACAACTGGCATAACCACCTTGCCCGGAGGTCGGGGGGGGCCGCCTACCATTGTTACCTTTATTACAGGTCACCCGCCCGTTACTGTCACCTCAACTGCGAGCACTACTGGCTTAACGACTCTTCCCGGGGGACCTGGCGGACCGCCTGCGGTTGTGACCTTCGTTACAAGCCCTCCGCCGGTGACGCTGACATCTACGGCGAGCACGACCGGCTTGACGACCTTGCCTCCAGGCCCCGAAGGAGGTTCTACAACTGTGATCACATTCGTCACTGGTCCTCCACCGGTAACACTCACATCCACGAGATCTTCTACGGGTTTAACAACTCTCTCATCTGGCCCTAGTGGTGGTCCTCCTACCATTGTTACGTTTGTCACTGGACCGCCTCCAGTTACTGTTACATCAACTGCTAGCACCACCGGACTTACCACCGTCCCGCCAGGCCCCGACGGGGGGCCTTCGACTGTAGTCACTTTTTTCCCACCTCGTACTGGCAACTTCCCTCTCGCCTAATTTTTCTTGGCATCTGCTGTTAGTGAATGAGTGAGCCTACCACCAAATTACTAACAGCCGAAAACTCTTCACCTCCCCTTGCCGGAGCCCGCATCCGCGATGGCCTCACAGCCGCCGTCGGGCACCGGACTGATGTCGGCCGACCAAGCCGACCCCGAACCAGGCTCCGGGACACCTCCGGAGCCGAACCCCACCTCAAGAGCTAAGCGACGCCGCGACGCCGAGGCACAGCCGACCCGGCCCAGCCTAACGGGAAGCCAGCTTGATGCCACCACCGACGCCCCTACCTCGGCCGAGGGGCCCGCAGCCTCTACCGCATCTGCTCCGAGCGGATCTGCCACAGGGTCCGTCTTGACAGCCCTTGCAGAAGAAGCTAGACAGTACGAGGCACGGAAAGACGTCTTTCTGACCATTGCACGGTCCGTCGACAGCGTTGTCGCCAGCTTTGACGGTTCTAGAAAGCAGATCGCGAAAGAAGCCACTGCCTATGTCATTCAAACCCTCAAGAGACTGATCAATCACGAGACAAGCCCAATAGCGGCCCGGAGTTGGGCGGCTGTCGTCGCACCGATGGCGGGCAACACCACTGCGGCGACCCGGAGCGGCCAGAGCTGCCAGAGCTCTGCCCGCCCGAAGGCCACACTCCCCGCCGAGGATCAGCCGCAGGCGCAGCCGAAGGAGGACCTCCGCATCTTTGCCCGCGTCCCGGAAGAAAGCTTAGCGGCCGCTCGGAAGATCGCACCGTTCGCCGTACGACAGATCGTCTGTAAGGCCGTTGGCCTGGGGCTAGCGGACCTTCCCCACGTCTACCATATCAGCACAGGTTACTCTCTGAAGCCGCGAAACAAGCAAATACAGGAAAGACTACTTACAAGTAAGGCAAAGCTGGCGGAATGCCTCGGCGCCCACCAAGTCGAGACGCCTATCAAGTGGCACACATACGTTGTGCCGCGATGCCCAACAAAACTACACAGCATTGGCGGGGACGTCCTGGACCCAGCCACACTCGTTGAAGATGAGGTCTTCGCACAGACAGGACAGAAGCCTGTCCTTGCTCGACCGTCCCGCCTTGGGCCCAACCCAGTCACGAACGAAATATCTTGGCTCATATCATTCACATCAGAGGTCACGCCCTTCAGGCTCTTCAACCAAAGCGGCAGATCTCTGCCCATCAAAAAACGAAGGACGCTCATCCGACATGACCCCGGCTGCCAGGGCTACCACGCCAACCGGTTCTGCGGACGACGACCGACTTGCAGCAACTGCGGAAGACCTTCCGACTCACACGAAACGGGACCTTGCATGGCCAGGCCCCAGTGTCCCAACTGCTGCGGCCCCTTCCAAGCCGGCCACACAGACTGCCCAGCGAGGCCCTCGGTCGTAAACGGCGTCGTCTCCCTTCCCGGTCGAAAGGAGCGGGCTCGGATCCGGAAGGCCGGCCAGAAAGCATCGGACACTCTGTACAAGGCTACTCGATCCGACAGTAGCCAGGAGGCGGCAGGCGTCCCTACCTCCACCAGCCAGAACCAGCAACCCGGCGCCAAGCGCGCGCGCACGAGAACGCCCTCCGCAAGCTCGATCGTTTGCCTCGGTGACGGAAGCACTGACAGC